CCCACATAAAAAGCCCAACAAAGTCTTATTATTATAGGAAAACCCTCTGGTCAGTCCTAAAACACTGTGTTTCAGCCCTCTAACACTTGCTGTTGCACCCTCTGACACCTGCAGAGCAGCGTCAACTTCCCTAGACGCAAAAAAAAAGAAAGCCTTTGCTGGGAAATCACCTCCACGCACAAGGAATCAGGTTTGCACAGCTTCTAGGAACAAGAGGAACACGGAACAACGGTATCCCAACCCGGAAACTGCGGCCAGAGCACGACTTGGAAGTTTATAAAAAACAGTCAAGTGAATTTTCCCTGCCTCATGGAAATCCCCCATCCACTCAAGTCACTTGCAAATATAATTTTAGCACCCTTGAAGTCTTTATAAAAAGAAAGGAAAAGGTCACTTCCCAGCCAGAATCCCCTTCACAAGATTCTCCAGCAGCTCAGAGGGCTCAGAAAAATTAACCGCAGACACAGTGACCTTGTCCAGGGGCGAGAGCAGAAACACAGGAGCCAGAAAGTATTCCAAACACCCATCTGTCCACAGCACTGTGCCCACGACCACCAAGAGTCTTTTTAATATTCCCTCCTGCCTTCCATCACCGTGCATTTACAAGGCATCGACTGAATTTTACTGGAATGACCAGTCTCATATTTATAACAGGAATGCCTGGCATTTCCCACTACTCTGCTTTTTTTAACATCAAACAGAGGAGCAAGGACTTTAAGGACACCAGAAAACACGGAGCACTCAGTCTGGGCAGAGTGAGGAAGGTTGGGGTGAGCAATTCCCTAAAATGCCTGAATGTTTCCAGCACTGAACAAACCTGAATTCATTCCTCTAGGAATAAGGATTAAATCCCCGAATCTATCACTTGGCCTGCCCATGCCTCAGGCAGGGTGTCCCAAAGATGTCTGGTATCTCCCCAGTTCCTGAATATTCCAGACTGAGCCATCTGAGGTCGGGACTGGGTTTTACTGTAGCCAGGTGACTAATTCCAGCCAGCTCATCCCATGGGTCACATGAGAGAAAGCCTAAATTCGTGGTTTCTCCGGATATGCCCCTTGGGGATGGAGAAAGGAGAAGGAGCAGCAATCCCCACCCAGGGCCAAGTCGTTGCTGTTACTGGCAACAGGGAAGTAGGAACTGCAGCAGGGGCTGTCCCTAGGCCAAGGCAGCAGAGCTGTGTCACTGCCTGTAGGAATTCCAGCCAGGAGGCTCCCAGGGGGGTGATGATCCAGGCTGACTTACAGGTCAGCCTCACTTACACAACCTCATGGATGCTGCAGAACAAGGCTGCTCATGCCCAGTGTTCCCTGCTCAGAGACAGAAATGGTTTGAGTTAGTGCTCAGGGCAGAGTTATGAAACCAGGCAGGCCTTCAGATTCCCAAAGGAAGCCTAGAAAAACATCAGCTTTGCTCATTTCAGAAGCTAAAGGCACTCAATAACAGAGAAATGCAGCTCTGCAGAGAAGCAGGTTTTTACCCTGGCCTGGCATCCCCTCTCCCAGGGAGGGAGGACAGCACATTCCCGCCAGGCAACTGGTGCCAGAGGTGGTGTCTCACCCTTACATAAGGACAAAATGGCCACCCCAAAACTCCACCCCTTTTCTGCAAGCCTGGATGGAACCCAGGAGCCACCACCGGTTCCTGGCTGGCTCTCCCCAGTACTGAGCTGCAGATCCACGGGAGGAGAGGCCGGCTGGAGATGCCTCTCCAGCTATCTGGCAGTGGGGAACAGGAAGGTCAGGCTGGCTCTGGCACCTTCCCCATGTGCTGCTGGCTCAGCTGGGCATTTGCTGAGCTGCCCTCCCTGGAAGGCTTAACTAAAAAAATAAAGAGGAGGTGGCAGGCATCGGATGTTTGGTGACGAGAAAGACTTATCTCGAGGGTATTTGTCGGACAGACCTACAGGCTTAACCTTGCAGAGGACAAGGAGCCTTTAGACTTGGCAAAAAGCACCTGGCTGCCTTCAGGCAAGCTGTAAAAACCTGCTTTACACGATAAAAGAAAGCCTGGGGGTTTTCTTTTCATATTTAGCTAGGCAGAAGTGTAGATCACTGTGCTGCATCCCCACTCCAGGATGGAGATTGCTGCACGTGGCAGCGCCCCGGTACTGCAGCCCCATTCCCTACGTGCCATCCATCACCATCCACTGCGGCTCCATCTTCCCCCGGGAGAACAACGGCCAGGCAGGAGATAAAGGACCAAGCACGTGCTCCAGCCGGCCTGGGAAACGTCTTGGTCCCATCAAATTGAATTATAATTTGTTGGGTGGAAGGGGAATTAAGGCCGGTGGTGGATCCCTATGGCTAACAGCAATAAATGAAGGTTTTAATATTAGCTTTAGATGGATAAAGGATAATTAAAAAAAAAATGCAGGCTGCTGCAGACTCTCTAAGATCTTTAACTAGCGCAAACAAGTTTCTCAGGCAGCTCTCACAGGCAGAAGTCCCCGGTTCAAGCACGTGGCTCGCAGCAGTGTTTCCTGCCTCGCACAAAAACCTTCTGCTTAATCCGGTGATGGGCTGGAAACCTGCTGGCACCATTAATCTATCGGACTCCTTGATATAAGGTAGAATTCTGCTCTATAAAGGGGATCTCAGACATGAAATTACACCCTCCAGATTTTTGTGTTGGCTTTTTTTTTTTTAATTAAGCAGTTCTAATTGCACAGCTCCCTGGACGTGTCTGAGCAATGAAAAACCTCTTTGTCGTCGTACCTTTGAGCCAAGGCAAGTCACGATGAGCAGCAGCAGTAAAGTTAACACTTTAACATGACAAAAGCCTCCATAAAACATTGATTTTTTTGTGCCTTATCAGAACAAAAGCAGGTTTTTAGAGATTGCTGTCTGCTTTTAATGGTCTGAGGAGACAGTCGGGAGGTTGCTATTGTCCGCCGACAAAAGCGCTATTCATGCCCCGGTTAATCTGCAAAGGGGGTTTAAACACGTTTGAAAGTGTTTCACAGTTCAAGAAAGTGTCCAAATCAACGGGACGTGTTTAAACAGGCACAATGATGGGAGAAGATTAATTCAGAAGGGGCCTTCTCTTCCCGGGGAGGGGCGGGAAGAGGCTGCAGCATCAGAGGTGGGTGCAGTGAGCCGGACGCTGATTTGAACTGATGCCCTTCGGGGAACTGCCGGCTCTTACGTGAGTGCAGGCACGGGGGGGCGGGGGGGGCAGCGGCCTAGCGCCTCACTCCGTCTGCCTCTGACTCAGCCTCCCAGCAGCTCCTCCGGCACTGCCCGGCCAGCAGCCACAGCGGCGCCCCGCGCTCCGGTGACCGGCACGGCCGCCGGGCACACGCGCGGCTCCCCCTCTGCATATCCCACTTCATTCATGCACCTCAGACCGGACTCCCGCAGCCCCCCGGGCTCGGAGCGGCCATTTCCCGGTGTGGGCCGTGGGGAGACGCTTGGAGCGGGCGTTCCCCTGCGCGGGATCGGAAAGGATGCTCAGAGCGGGCGTTTCCCAGGGCTGGGTTACGGGGGGATGCTCGGAAAGGGCGTTCCCCGCTGTGAGATCTCGGAGGGATGCTCGAGGAGACAGAGGAGGGGACGTGGGGCCGGGGCCGCCGGAGGCACGAGGTCAGCACCGCGAGCCCCCCGCAACCGCCCCATAAGGGCGCGTGCCCCTTCCCCTCAGCCGCCGCCCGGGGGGGAACCGTCTCCTGGCGGTGGAAATATGGGGATAACTGCGGTACTAGCGTGGCTTGACCCACCGCTCGCTGCCCCTCAGGCCGCCGTTACCTGCCGCTGCTCAGTCACGCTGCGATCTCGTCCAGTCCCTCCGAGCGCCGCCGCCGCTCTGCACACCGCCCCCACGCCCGGCCAAGGTGATTCTGGCCTGCCGCAGCACCGCCCCCCGCGGATCCCTCCGCCACCCGCTCTGCCGGGGACCACAAGGGCGGGGCGCCGGGGCTACTTTCACGGGCGGACGCGCAAAGCACGAGGGGGAGGCGCTGAGTCACAGCACGCGCCCAGCCGGCCAATGAGGGGGTGGCGCAGCAACCGCGCGCGCGGACGGAGAGTGGCCGTCGTCTTAAAGGGACCGCGGACCGGCGCGATGCTCTTAAAGGGGCCGCGGCACCTAACTTACACCGAGCCCTCCAATTCACATTGACCCCGCCCAACTCACCCCGACACCCCCAGCTCACACCGACTATCCAGCTCACACCAAGCCTCCAGCTCACACCTCAGGGGTCCCTCACTCTGGGGACCAGCAGCTCTTGGTGTTTTGGGGTGCTCTGGAGGATCCTGAGACCTTCCAATGGGGACACTGGGGACCAATATAGAATCTCTGTAGTGAGGCCACGTGGACGCAGTACTGGGGACACTGGGGACATTGTGCTGGGATCAATGAGAGACCAGGCTGGAGATGCTGGGGACACAGGGGACGCTGTGCCGGGGCCGCTGGGGCACTGTCTCAGCTGTGTGGGGACCCAACATGGACACCGTATGCCAGATCCATGAAGGCTCTTGGCTGGTAATAGTGGGGACCCCATGCTGGAGATATTGGGGACACGGAATCATGGGGACCTTTTGCTGGTGACCCATGTCAGTGGCTCCACACTGGCACCATGGTGACACTGGGGACCTGCCATTAACACAGGGACTTGCCACACAGACCCTGTGCTGGACTTTAGGGACAGACAGCCAGTCATCTGGGGACCCAAAATGCTCACTGTATGCTGGGACCACAGAGGGGTCCTCTACCGGATACACTGGGGACTCTGTGGTCCACGGAGGGGACCAAAAATGGTCAGCCTGCGCTGGGGACACGGGACCTGTGTTTGTCCTGTGTTGGACCACGGGGTCACTGCGGGAGACCCGACATGGCCACCCCATGGGGTACCCTGTGCTGGCAGAGGCAGACCCTACAACACTAGGGACACCGGGGATTCTGGGGACACTGGCGACCCGGCCAGCGCTGTGTCCTCGCCATGCCGCTGCCGCGCCCCCGAGGGTTCCGGGGAGTGTCCGGGGGGGGGTCCCGGTGGTGACGTCATGGCGGCGCCGCTGGGTGACGCGGTGCGGCGGCTCTGACGTCAGGCCCGGCCCCCCGGCAGCATGGCGGCCGTGCCCGCGCCGGCCGGCCCGCGCTGACATGGTGAGGGGCCGCGACGCGGGAGGGGACACGGGGACACGGCCATGGCCGCGGGGGGAGCGCGCCCGCGAAGGGGGCGGGACGGGCCTGCGGAGGCCCGGGGCGGGGGAGGGGCAGCGGCCCTCGGTGTCCCCCCGTGTCCCGGGGTCCCCCGCCTCGGGGCGGGGATGGGGCTGGAGGAGGAGGAGGGAGCCCCGCGTCGCGATCGGCTGGGCATCCCCCGACATTTCCATACGCAGTCCCTGTCCTGGTCCTCCATCCCACTGTTCCCCTCCTGGTCCTTCATCCTGCTGTTCCCATCCTGCTTCCCAATCCTGCTGTCCCATCCTGTTCCCCCACATTGGTCCTCCATCGCTCTGTTCCCATCTTCCTCCCTCATCCTGTTGTCATTCTGTTCCCTCATTCCAGTGTCCCCAGCCTGCTGGTCCATCTTGCTGTCTCCATCTTGCTCCCCCATCACGCTCCCTCATCTCACTCCTCCATCCCACTGTCCCCATCCTGCTCCCCTCTAATCTGCTCCCCCATCCTCCCTTTCCCATCCTGCTCCTCCATCCCACTGCCCTCCAAATTATTATTCCCATCTTGCTCCCCCCATCCGACTGCCCACATCCCACATCCCCATCCCGCTGTCCCCAAACACTCCCCCCAACCCCTATTGTTCTCCCTATCCTACTGCTCCCCCCACACTGCTTCCCCAAATTGTTCCCTCAATCCACTGCCCTCAACCCTCTCCCCAAAACCAGCTCCCCCAGTTTGCTCCCCCTCTGATTCCCTCCGTGTTGATGAGCTCCCCCAATCCACTTTCCAAACCTCTCCCCCATCCCCGCTGCCTCCCAACCCTCTGTCCCCAGGACCTCAAGGGCCAGTACTGGACGGACGATGACTCCGACGGGGATAATGAGTCCGAGGAGTTCCTCTATGGTGTGCAGGTGGGTGCTGGGTCCCACTGGTGCCACAGGAGGTTCAGGAGCTCCCAGCCTGAGCCTGATGGCAGGCCCGTGGCTGTGGGAGCTCAGGGTGTGACAGGCTGTGGGCGCTGTGCCGCAGGGGACCTGCGCCGCCGACCTGTACCGGCACCCGCAGCTGGACGCCGACATCGAGGCAGTGAAGGAGATCTACAGCGAGAATGCCGTGGCTGTCAGGTGGGTGCCTCTGCTGCCCCCTGCCCCGGGCAGTGCCGTGCCCAGGCACACAGCTGGGCCGTGCCAGGAACTCAGCTGTGCTATCCCCAGGCATCCAGCTGTGCTATCCCTGGGTACCCAACTGTGCCGTGCCCAGGCATCCTGTCGTGCCGTCTCTGGGACACCTGATCGTGGTATTACCAGAACATCTGGCCGTGGCATCCCCAGGCATCTAGCTGTGCCATCTCTGGGGCATCTGACCGTGGCATCCCCAGAGCATCTGGCTGAGCCATCCCTCAGACATACCCTCCCCAGGACACGGGCCACAGTATCCCCTGGGCACTTGGCTATTCTTGGGCACCCAGCCATGGCATTTGTGGAGCATCCATCTGTGGCTGCCCCAGGCATTCATCTGTGCCATCTCATCACCCAGCTGTGCCATCCCTGGGCACCCAGCTATGCCTTATCCAGGGCAGTCAGCTGTGGCATCATTGGGTCACCTGGCCATGGCATTGCCAGACACCATCCCTGGGGTACCCAGCTGTGCCATCCGCAGGCATCCAGCAGTACCATCCCCAGCACATTTGCACATGCCATTTCCAGTCACTTGACCATGCCATCTTGGAGCACTCAGTAGTGCCACCCCTGCATAACCGGCTGTGCCATCCTTGGTGCACCTGACTATGGCATTACCAAGGTACCTGGCTGTGGCATCTCTGGGTATCCAGCTGTGCCACTGCCAAGGCATTCAACCATGGCACCCCTAGGACACCTGGCCATGCCATCTCCTGAGTACCTGACTGTGCTCACACATTGCCAGGTTCACATCCACGTTCTGGGCACTCCCCCTGTGTGTAGATTGATACATGGAGAGCCACACATGCCACTGTCACTTTCCTATGAGCCTGCCCACCGTGGCATGGTGGGCACCGGGCCACTGTTTCAGCACTGTGCCAGCCCCCCATGCCACAGCAACACACGTCTTCACAGGGAGTATGGGACCATCGATGACGTGGACATCGACCTCCATGTGAACATCAGCTTCCTCGATGTGAGTCCCTGGGGTGCCCCTGGCAGTGCTGGGACAGGGAGGGTGGGCACATGTACCTGGAGGGTCCCCAGATCCGTCTGCCTGGCTGAAGATCCTGTGGCTGTGCCAAAGTGTGTCTCTCCTTTGGCAGGAGGAGGTGGCCACAGCATGGAAGGTGCTGCGGACGGAGCCCATCGTGCTCCGCCTGCGCTTCTCCCTCTCCCAGTACCTCGATGGCCCCGGTGAGTGGGGACAGGTGGGATGTGGTGTCCCTGTGTCCTCGGGGCAGGCACAGTGCTGCACCCACAACTCCTTCTCCTCTCTCCCTGCAGAACCGTCCATTGAGGTTTTCCAGCCGTCCAACAAGGAGGGCTTCGGGCTGGGTCTGCAGCTGAAGAAGTAAGAGCTGAAACGTGGTGGGCACCTGAGGGTAATGGGTGGGGTGGCTCACAGAGTCACTTTTCTGCCCCAAAACTGGCCACATGCCACATGTCCTGTTGCCACCACCTTCTGTCCATCACACAATCCTGTGATGGGTTCACCACCATCTGTGTATGGGGAAGAGGAGGGGCTGGGGGTGTCATGGACCACCAAGCACCCATGGGTGCTGTCCCCCATGTTTGCCAGGATCCTGGGCATGTTCACATCCCAGCAATGGAAACATCTCAGCAATGATTTCCTGAAGACCCAGCAGGAGAAGCGGCACAGTTGGTTCAAGACGAGCGGCACCATCAAGAAGTTCCGTGCTGGTCTCAGCATCTTCTCACCCATCCCCAAGTAAGGTTCTGATGCTGTCCCTACAAGGGACCAGCCCTCTGTCCCCTCATCCTGGGTGAGGCCTGGCAGCGTGCCTCAGTTTCCCCCTTTGGATGCTGCTGCTCCCTACCAGATCCCAAGCAGGTGGAGGTTGCTTCCGACGGGTGAATCCGACGCTGGGTAATGGAGGAGTAGGGAACGTTGACAAACAGGTGCTCAGGGGGATTCTGTGCCTGCAGGTCTCCCAGCTTCCCTGTTATCCAAGATTCTGTGCTGAAGGGCAAACTGGGCATCCCCGAGCCTCGTGTGAACCGCCTGATGAACCGGTCCGTGTCCTGCATGGTGAAGAATCCCAAGGTGGAAGTTTTCGGCTACCCACCCGCCAGCACCCAGGCAGGTGTTGCCCCCTTCAACATCCTGGTGGGTGCCACCCCGCCTTGGGGTTTGCTTTTCTCTTCTTCCCCTTTCCAGGGGCTCCTCTGGGGTCAGACTGTTTGTTGTGGGGTGCTGAGACATCATGGGATGGGGGGAGCCCCACTCTTGGGTACTCTTGGGGAGCTGGGGCCTGGCTGTGGGGGCCAGTGGGATTTTTCCCCCACTCTGGGTGCTGCATCCCAGCTGTGCCAGGGGATATTGGCATGTTGGGGGTCTTGCTATGCCAGGGGGTGTTCGGATGTCCAAGGGTCCAACAGTGCCATGAGGGGTTTGGTGTGTTGTGGGTCCCACTATGCCAGGGGGTGTTGGCATGTCAAGGGTCCCACTGCGTTGGGGGTGTTGGGGGTCCTGCTGTGTTGGGAGGGCGTTGGCATGTTGGGGTCTCACTGTGCTGGGGCACGTTGAAATGTCAGAGGTCCTGCTGTATCAGAGTTTTGGTATATTGAGGGTCCTGCTGTGCCATGGGGAGCTGGGGGCTGCCCATGCCATGCAGAGCTGGGGGTGCGTGTGGGAAAGGGGATAACACAGCTGGCTCCACTCCCGCTCCATCACAGGTCGGTGGCCACTGCAAGAACATCCCCACGCTGGAGTATGGCTTCCTCGTCCAGGTGACAGTCCTGCATCCTGCTCATCCTCCGCCTGCTGCCCAGAGCATCCTTCCCCGCTGTCCCACTTCCCACTTCCCCACATCCTACTGTCTGGAGCATTCTCCCCACTACCCCATTTCCTGCTCATCCTTACCCTGATGCCCAGAGTATCCTCGCTGTTCCGCGTCCCACTCAGCCCTGTCCCATTGCCCTGAACATCTTTCCCGGTGCCCTACATCCCACTTATCCAGACTCCACTGCCTGTATCATCCTCCCCTCAGAGCGGAGTTCCACTCGTCCCCATCCCACTGCCTGGAGCATCCCCCCAGGCTCCATGTCTGAGGCAGTGCCTGACTCCCTCCATCCTGCCCCTCAGATCATGAAGTATGCGGAGCAGCGGATCCCAACGCTCAATGAGTACTGCGTGGTGTGTGACGAGCAGCACGTCTTCCAGAACGGCTCCATGCTGAAGGTGGGGTGGCAGGGCCAGGTCAGGTGCGGGCTATGCCCCTGTGTCACCATCCCTGACGCTCACCACTCTCCTGTCCCCTCCACAGCCAGCTGTGTGCACCCGAGAGCTCTGCGTCTTCTCCTTCTACACCTTGGGTGTCATGTCCGGCGCGGCCGAGGAGGTGGCCACTGGTGCCGAGGTAGGGCTGGGCACGGTGGTGACCCCCACCCCCAGCGCCACGAGGGGTTGCCCCTTCAGTCCCTGCTCTGCCCCAAGGTGGTGGATCTGCTGGTGGCCATGTGCCGCGCTGCCCTCGAGTCTCCTCGCAAGAGCATCATCTTCGAGCCTTACCCCTCTGTGGTGGACCCCAATGACCCCAAAACTCTGGCCTTCAATCCCAAGGTAAGTGCTGGGGGGGACAATGCTCCTCCACACCAGGGGGTGATGGGAAGCCCCAAAGACCCCTCTGATGGCCACCCCTTTCCTGCCCCATGTGCAGAAGAAGAACTACGAGCGGCTGCAGAAGGCTCTGGACAGTGTGATGTCCATCCGGGAGATGACCCAGGTATGTGGCGTGGCCCCACAGCCCCATGGCCCCATGTGACCTCCCCGGTGTGGGATCCAAGCTGGGAGTGGCATTTTGGTCCTGATCTCCATCTGCTCATGGCTGGGTGCTGAGGGACCCACCTGCACCCCCTCTTGCCTCTGCCAGGGGTCCTACCTGGAGATCAAGAAGCAGATGGACAAGCTGGACCCCCTGGCACATCCCCTCCTGCAGTGGTAAGGCTGAGGGTGCTGCGGCCCTCTCCCATTGCCCCTTGTCCCTTTCACTGCCCCACATTCCCCAGGACATGGGATAGAGTGGGAGGCAGCCAGGTATCCATGGCACAGCCCTCTCATCTCCCTTCTTCTGGGGGGTCATGAGCATCTAATGGTCTTGGGGCAGATTGGGACCACCTTTTCTGACCCTCCTCCTTTTCCTCCTCCTCTTCCCAAGGATAATCTCCAGCAACAGATCCCATATTGTCAAGCTGCCTCTCAGCAGGGTAAGGTGCCAGGCCAGGCTCCAGGTGGGGTGCGGGAAGGAGGGTAGGGAATATGGGAGGTGGGGTGGAGGGGTACAGGAGATGGGGTGCAGGATACGGGCTATGGGCTGCACAATGCAGGATGAGGCATATAAGGATATGGGATGGACTATTGGAGGGATGGAAGGATCTGGGATGTAGGATGGATCCCTCTGGGTGGGTTTCTAGCCTGGGAGATAAAGGAGTCAGGACTCAGGATACAGGAAGGGGGATGTTTGACATGGGCTGTGGGATGGGGACGAGACAGGGATGCCAAAAACCTGTCTGGCAAACTTGGAGTCACCAAAACCAGGCTGGGCTGGACCCAGGGCTGGGTGGCCGTGCATGATCTCTGTCTGTCTGTCCTCTCTCCTGCCGGCAATGCCGTTGCTCTTCCTGTTCCCCTGGTAGCAGCTGAAGTTCATGCACACCTCCCACCAGTTCCTCCTGCTCAGCAGCCCCCCAGCCAAGGAGGCCAGGTTCCGCACAGCCAAGAAACTCTACGGCAGCACCTTTGCTTTCCAGTGAGTTGCCAAGGTGGGGGGATAGTGGGAGGCCCCAGGATGGGTGCTGTGGGGCTGATGGACAAGGGGCTGATGTGGGGCTGGCTCTTTCCAGTGGCTCTCACATTGAGAACTGGCATTCCATCCTCCGCAATGGGCTGGTCAACGCCTCCTACACCAAACTGCAGGTATGGATCTGCTCCCTGCACCCAGTACACCCCAGGGCAGCAGGCGGGCAGGGAGGGGGCAGGAAGGCAGGGAGGGGGCAGACATTGGGAATTGGCAGGCTTCCTCCACTACTCCTGTGTCCGAGCTGTTGGGGTGATCCCACCACGCTCACCCTGGTATTTTCCCGCAAGCTGCATGGAGCAGCCTATGGCAAGGGCATCTATCTGAGCCCCATCTCCAGTATTTCCTTTGGATACTCAGGTAAGAGGCTGCCTGTGCTGCCCAGTCCTGCCTATGCTTCCGTTCCCACTCCCTGCATGGGCAAGGATCTCATCTCCATCCCATCACACCAGCCTCTTCCCAGCCAGGTTGGGGCTTTCCTACACGCCAAAGAATCAAACCTCCAACATATTCTAGGCTTCAGAAACTGCTGCGCACATTTTTGGGGGGTTCCTAGGGCTCAGCTGCACTGAAGGTGGCAATCCCTGTCCGTGGCATGTGTCCCCACATCACCTCAGGGTGTTCTCTGAGAGAGTGACAGCCCCTGCCTTGCTTTTCCACAGGAATGGGGAAAGGGCAGCACCGGATGCCGTCGAAGGATGAGCTGGTACAGCGGTACAACCGGATGAACACGATCCCCCAGGTGATGGGCCAGGGGACACCGGGGCAGGATGGGAATGGGGCATGGCACCCGTGGGTGCTGGGGACAGAGTGGTAACACCGGCTGCTCTTCCCACAGACCCGCTCCATCCAGTCCCGCTTCCTCCAGAGCCGCAACCTGAACTGCATCGCGCTTTGCGAAGGTGTGGGGATGTGGGGGGTTAACGGGGGGCAGAGGCAGCACCCGTGGGGTCTCCAGGTGGGTGGAGGGATGGAGGCTCCCCACAATGGGCTGTGCCCAGTCAGGCCCTCTGTCCTGCATCCAACGGCCCCTTGCCCCCACAGTGATCACCTCCAAGGACCTGCAGAAACACGGCAACATCTGGGTCTGCCCTGTCTCGGACCACGTCTGCACACGCTTCTTCTTTGTGTGAGTCCAGCTGTGCCCACTCTGCTGCACCTGCGAGACCCCCCCCAGGACCCCCCTCACCCCCTTCTCCTCTTCCAGGTATGAAGATGGCCAAGTGGGAGACGCCAATATCAATACTCAGGACCCCAAAATCCAGAAGGAGATCATGCGTGTGATCGGGACTCAGGTGTACACAAACTGAGTGGCGGCGGTGACGGTGGGACCCCGGGACTCCCCGGGCACCGAGTGAGCCCCCGGGCAAGGCTGGGCAGGGGCCGAGCGGGTTTTGAGCCCCCCAGGCAGGGCAGAGCCCGGGCAACACCGGCGGCTCCACCTGTACATAGGCGTTGGGCACCCTGTGAGCACCAGGCGGGTTCAGCGGTCCCTTATCCCCTCCCTGTCCCCTTCCCACTGTCCCCGACCCTGTGGCAGCGTGGAGAAGGAGCTGTGGGTCCGGCGTGGCTGGGGCCACCCCTCTTGGCATTGGCAGTGACAGTGTTTTTATCAATGATGAGAAACTGAAGCAAAAAAAAAAAAAAACCGAACAACCAAAACAAACCCAAAAACATAGGAAAAAAAAAGAAAAGGAATTGGTGTTTGTGGATTTAACTGGGATTAAAGTGTGGGGCATGGGAAGGGGAAGCTGGGGAAGGGATGGGGGCACAGGAAAGGAGTGGGATTGTGAGGAAAGGAAAGGGGCACAGGAAAGGGGATGGATGGGATGGGATGGGATGGGATGGGATGGGATGGGATGGGATGGGATGGGATGGGATGGGATGGGATGGGGTTATGGGGAAGGAGTGGGATTCAGGGGAAGGGGTGGGAGTGTTAGGGAGGAATAGGGGCACAGGGAAGGGATTGGAATCTGGGGAAGGGATGGGGGCACTGGCAAAGGATAGGATCCTGAGAAAAGGATAGGATTGTGGAGAAGGGATGAGAAACAAGGGATGGTACCTTGGGGAAGGGATGGGATTGAAAGGAAGGGGAGATCATGCAGAAAGGAAAGATTCATGGGGAAGGGATAGGATTGAGGGGAAGGGATGGGATGGTGGGGAAGTGTCGTCGGGAATTGATGCAGCTTTGGGATAGGGCTGGGAGGGAACCACTCTCCCATCACACTATGGGAAAGGGATGGTGCTGTGGAGGTGGAACACAATGGAGAAGGGATTGTGCCTCAGGAATGGGGACATGGGACCCCACAGAGCAGCCCCCCCCAGGCACTGGTGCTGCAGCAGAGACTTACATGAGAAGAAACCTCCCAGGGACAGCATTTTATTTCAGCCCAAGCCAATCCCAGTAATTTCATGGACATGGAGGCAGTGCCAGCACAGCTGCATCCTGTTACACCCAAACCTGGATGGAAACCCAGCAGAGATAGCCCAGGGGCTGCCAGGGCTCAGGGCAGGCAGAAGGGACTGGGCACTGCTGGTCCCCACAGCCCAGGGGCTCTCCAGGTCAGTCACAGCAGCGCAAGGCCACGATTTCAGCCAGGATTTATGATGGAATTTAAGAATTCATGTGAGTTTTCTTGGTTTTGGTACAGTCACCACCTGAGTCCTGACACATTTATTGCACCAGTGGGAGCACTCACTGTCACTTCTGTCATGTCCCTGTCCTCTGTCCCACCTAGATCCCAACATCTGTCCATCCCCACTTGTCCCACACTGGCTGCTCCATGTACCCAAGAGCTGCCCAAACCTGGGCTGGTGGCCATTCCCTCGCCCCTGGCCCTGCCACCCACCCCCTGGGAAGGTTTTGCTTAAAACTGTGGGGTTTCGGGTTTTCTCCTCTCCTCAAATAAAAAATAAGTCACTTTCCCAAGATCATGGCAGTCACTTGGCTGTACCCACAAGTGCAAAGGGACATCCCGTGGGACATGGCCACATCCCCCTGAATCTCCTCTGTCCCTTGGAAAGATCAGTGAAACCACAGGGCTGTGTCCTGTCCTGATTCCCTCTGCAGCCATAGTGAATTGCTCAAAAAATAGCAATTCTTACGAAAAAGCAAATAAAAAGAGAGGCCTATGGTCCTCTCCCAGCTTCACCAAATCCTGGTGGATGCTCCAGCCCAGCTGGAGTTGAGCTGGCCATAACAGGGCCCTGGTTTTGTGTTTGGGTGGTGAACACGGCAGCGATTGCGACAAAGAACCAACGAAGGTGACGATTTTGACAAAATAAGTTTATTTCGCTTCACTTCATTTCGGCCGAAACCTCACATTTTTCTTTTTTTTTTTAGTTTTTTTTGGCTGAAAAAAAAACCCAACCCAAAAATCCCCCCAAACCAACCCAAAATGCAAAGAACCACATCACTACACCCTCTGCCAGAGGTGACCGAGGGGCTCCAACTCCCCCTGGGCCATGGAGCTGAGGGAGCCACTGCAGCCCCACCCCCCAAATCCCCTCTGCATCCCCCCAGTCCCCAGCCACGAATTGGCCCCCGAAACCAAGCCCTTGAACCCCCCAAATCCGAGCCCTGTAGGAAACACTCGTGGCTCTGAATGCCCGAGGGTTTTACTCAACCTTCTTATTCTTGTTGGATTTTCTCCTCCATTCCTGATGTTTTTTTGTGTGTTTTGTTTTGTTTTTTTTAAATTAATTTATTTATAGATATATTTTAAAAAAGCAATAGTCCTTTGGTCCCTAAACTCTAAGGAATGATATGACTCTGAAACAAGTAATCCTATGTCCCTGTGCCAGTGACAAGCAGGGCAAGCGCGTGTCCCGCCACCCTGCTCCATGGGATATATATATATATATACTTATTTATATATATCTTCTATAAGTCCAACATACTTTGATCCTTCTTTTTTTTTTTTCCCCAATGCAGGGAAAAAGGAAAATCTTGCCGTTTTTCTTTATTTTCCAAACAAACATCTTCCAGGTGAAGTGCCCGAGGCTGGTCCCATCCCACCGGCTTTGGTTTAAGAATCCTTTTGGAGCCTCTTTTCCTCGTTTCTCCTTGGAAATCGGTAGCAGCAAATGAGTGCTTTAAAATAAAAAACCCAAAAACCAGATGATGGCCCGGCTGCCCGGAGCCATCGGCCTTGCTCCCAGTGAGGGATCCGGTGAGTCCTGGCGAGCGGCCGGCGGCGAATCGCAGCCCTGGCACCGCATCGCTCCCCTCCTTCCTTGTCTTCCTCTCATTCCCGTTAAACAACAAACAAGACCAGTTTGGGAAAAAATTCAAAAAGGAAAAGCTACAACCAAAACACTCTCTTCTTTGCCATTTTCTCCTTCACCTCCTCCTCTTCCTCCTCCAGGATGTATTGCAAAGAAAGAGAGTTACGGGTTTGGATACTGCACTTGGGGAAGGGGAAAGTCGTCAGACACTGCAGGACGTCCGACCTGAAACAGAAGGAAGAAAGGTTGTCAGCCTGCTTCTGGGGGATGGAGGGAGGCACCCAGATCCATTGGGTGGGTGGTGCCAGGCAGAGATCCCTGCACACACTTGGGGATGTAGCACTAACAGGGATGCTCCATGACCACCACCAGGCCCCCTCACCTCTCCGCAGGCTGAGCTGGGGTCAGTAGGGTCTGTTGGCGTCTTTCGGCCGCTTTAGCTGCACTTTTAGCCTCTTCATGCCGATCTGGAAGCCATTCATGGCCTGAATGGCCGCCTGAGCACTCGTCGGATTGTCAAAACTGACAAAACCTGGCGGGGAGGGGACACGGGGGCTTGTCACCACACACGTCACAGGCGGCTGCCTCCCCTCAACCCAGGCACTGAAATCCTCTGGGATGCTCCTGGTTTGGGAGTGCTAGGAGAGGGGATCACAGCCCCAGATTGCAGGAGTGACAGGTGATGGCACCTGCAGGGACACCAAGATCTGCAGGGACACCGAGGTGACAGGGTTGTGAGGACAGCAGCATAAGAGGGTCCAAGGGACACTGGAGTCATCTGCAGGGACACTATGGGATGGGATTTGTGAGGTCACTGCAGTGACAGGATCTGTTAAAGTGATAGGGGCTGCAGGGACACTGAGGTGATGGGGTCTGTGGGGACACCAGGATGGGATGTGTGGGCTCAGGGGACATCTGGAGGCCAGGTCTGCAGAGACCCTGAGGTGATAGGGCCTCCTAAGACACCGCAGTGGAAGAGTCTACGGGGACACTAAGGTGACAAGGTCTGTGGGGACACCGAGGTCTGGGAGAGGGAGACACAGATCCCTGAGCTGGGGACATAGGGGAGAGCTGGACCCCAAGCAAGGGACAGCAGGGAGACATGGACATCTGAGCTGAAGACCAGGGAAAGAGAGATCCCCAAGATGAGATGTTGGAGAGACAGTCTCCCAAGCAGCAACTTCAGGGAGAGTTGGACTCCTGAGATGGAGATGCTCTGAGCTAGGCTGTCAGCAAGAGCCAGACTCCCAAGCTGGGAAGACTGGGGAGAGCCAAGCCCTTGAGCTGGGATTTGGGGAAAGACAGATCCCCTGAGCCGGAATATTAAGAGAGCTGGACCTCCAGGTTGGAGACTCTGGAGCTGGAGGGAGAATGGGACTCTGGAGCTGGAGACTGGCAAGAGCTGTCATGTCGAGGAGAGTCAGATATTTAATATGGGATGCTGAAGAGATCCAGATCCCTAAGTTGGGATGTTGAAGAAGAGCCAGAGCTCCAAGCTGCAATGTTAAGGATTGCTGGAACCTTGAGGTGGGGATTGGGAAGAGCTGGAGCCCTGAGCTAGACACCAGGGAGAGCCACACCCTGGGACTTACCAAAGCATTTACTCTGGTTGGTGGCACGGTCCACAAAGACTTTGGCAGAGATGACGTTGCCAAAAGGCAAAAACATCTGCGTGAGCTCCGCGTCCCCGAACTCCTGGGGCAGGTGATAAATAAACAGGTTACAGCCCTCGGGACCTGGGTGACACACAAAGGACAGGACATGTCAGCTGCGAGGTGGGGTCACCCCAGGGGGACACCGAGGAGCCACTGGCCCCACATGGGGTGACCCCCACCCCTCACCTTCTCTCTGCTGCTGTGGGATGAGGGGCGCCTGCTGGGGAAAGGCTTGGCTGATGGGAGCGTAGGCTGTGGGATATGCTGCTGGAAGAGAGAAACAAGGAGCTGAGGCCACGGCACCCACCCCAGCCATGGAAAGGGCTGGGACAGGCAGGTCCCCTGCTGCCACCTGTCATCAAGGGGCCTCTTCTGCCCCACGACTGCTGGCTCTGCCTTTCCCACCCCTCCTGAGACATCAGGGGTGTGGGAACAGCTCTCCTAGGAGGGATGCTGGTGATGGCAGTAGTGTGGCCTCAAGACTGAGGAAAGTTGGTACTTTTGGCTGAAAAACCCCAAAGATTTGGGGTCCAGAACTTGATTTTCTGTTACATATCTGGACATTGCTGTCAATGTTCCTAATTAAATGGCTGCTGGGCTTGACAGATTTACACAGGAGGCTCCGACTCCCATCCCTTCACAGCCCATGTCCTTAGCCATCAGATTTGGCCACGTGATGAAAACCCGATGACTTTTGGTGTCTTAGTGTGGAGCTGGTCCTCTGTCACCTCCCAAATTTCGCCCCCTCTTCTCGATACCACTTCCACTTCCAGGGCTCACCCATGGAGCTCTCTCAGCCCCATGGGTATTAAAATTCACTTTGCACCATCCAAAATTTGCACAGGGAGCCATGACAGGAGCCAGTGGGATGAGGGTATGGCGCTTTCATCGGCATCGCCACCCTGGAGTTCCTGTGAGGGAACAGCACCTGGTGCTCCCTGCATGAATCTATGCCCAAATACACTGCCCCAGTTCAACGTTCAACCCCAGGGTGATGTTCACCTCCCAAAAATAAGGGCGAGGAGCAAAGATGGGAGAGAGGGAAGGAGTGGGAAGCAAAGTTTGAGACCTGCATAGTGCTGCATGCCGGCGTAGGCCTGCTGAAGGGGGTCTGCCACCGTGGGGCTTTGAGCTGGGAAGAGAAGAGAAAGGAGAAGGAAGACAGAATAAGCCAGAGAAAGCCAGGGATGCATGCACAGCTCCCACAGGAAAGGGTTCCTGGCCAAGCGCCACCATGGAGGGGCAGAGCTGCTCCCTGCCTGAATTCCCTCCTCCCTGCAGTGATGCCACGGGAGCACATGGCTGATTCATCCAGCAGGTTCCTGGGATGGGGAGCACCCGTTAAGCATCCCGCAGGAGCCAAGCACACTGCCCTAGCTGCGGGGGCTGTACCTGGGTAGGGATGGATGCCGTTGGTGTAGATGGTCTCGGAGGCGGGCTGCCCGTTGGTCTGGGGCGGCAGCGGGCTGAAGCCGTTCACCCCAATGGGCGTGGCGATGCTGGGCACCGGAGCTGTGCTGATCCCTGGAGGGGTGCTTGTACCTGCAGGAGCATGGCGTCAGTGCTGGCATCACCCCGAGACTGGCCCGGGAGGATGCCAAGTGGCAAATGCGGGAGTCCTACCTGAAGAGGGGGTGAGGGGGGCAGCCACCAGCCCGCTGACATTGAAGGCGGCCATTTGTTGCATCTGGGCAGCAGCGATGGCAGCCATGGGGTTGAGGCAGGTGCCCTGCGCGGCCGCCATCAGGGCTGCCTGCTGCTGCATGATCTTCAAGAAAGAAAGGGGGAAAGGGGACAGAGAATGAGAGGCAGAGAGAGGGAGAAGGGAGGGTAAATCAGCATCTCTGCTTTGGATGGATTTAGAGAGATAAATGCCACCCGCTGTCAGATCCAGGGACAAGAGTCTTGGTGATGCTAAATATGGGACCACTAAACCCTACAACCACCCTCAGCTATGGGGAGGAAGCCCTGCATCTGCCCTTAAACAGAGATAGACCAGCCCTGCCAGGCATCCACACCCCCTGGCACTGGTGCTTTCATGGTCTAAACCAGCCCCCCCACCCACGGGAGTCTCCCAGAACCCCTGGTCTGCACCAGCTCCTACCGCTTGCGTGTAGGCCCCGTAGGCGCCAAACTGGATGGTCATGGGGTTGAAGATGCCCAGCTGCCCCGCCATCTGATGCATCCGCCGCAGGGTCCTCTCCTTATCCGTGTCTGCAAACTTCACCACCAGGCTGGACGAGGCGCCCTGAGGTGGGGGGAAGATGGTGGTTATGGTGGTACGACAGCAACGCCCCCAAACTGTGTACCCGCCGTGGGTGTGGCTCGCAGCATCCGCAGCATCCTCAGCCCTGGGGACACTGCCCAGCTTGGCAGCAGCAACCAATGATCGATGGGAGGTTTAATTATAGCTAGTTTTTCTCCCCGGTGGCAACTCCCCGACCTCTGCTTCCTTTCCCCTTCCTTGTCCACAATTCTGACCTTCAGCATTAATTAAACTGACCCTTTCTCTGGCATGGAGAGGATTAGCCCCACGCTCCCACCTCTGGGGCTCAGCACCCTGGCAAGGAGGAACCTGAGGTGATGTGGCCAACAAATTGCCAGTCTGTAGGATTTTGATGCAATTAGACTGAGGATCAAATTAGTGGGTGATTGGATTAAGCAGGCAGCATGGGGTCAGCTGGGGCAGGGTACGAGCCTGGCACTTACCGGCATGGTTTGGCTGCCGTGCAGGCTGTTGATGGCAGCCTGTGCCTCGGCATGGCTGCCATATTTCACAAAGGCACAACCTAAGAGAACAGAGGGAACATGGGACAGGTTGGATTTGGCCATTGGGGGTCCACAGGGTGCCCACCTGATGCCCCAAAGCCCACCTTTGCTGGCTCCATCAGGCCCTCGGAGGATGGTGCATTCCTCAATTTGGCCGAAGGGCTCAAAAAGGCGGCGGACGTCATCCTCGCTCTGCTGCTTCCCCAGCATGCCCACAAAGAGCTTCCTGTCTTCTAAAAACAAAACCAAGCCCATCAGAGTGGGAGGTCACTCACCATCCCAACCCCTCACCACAAATAGTGTACGGAGGGGAAGGAGCCAAGTGACATCAGAGGGAGGGAGCGACATTGATCCCACGGAGAAGGTGCTGGGCTTATCATCTCTGTCCTACAGAACACTCAGGGTGGGAAAACCTCTCCTGTGGGGAAATTGCTGAGGGATGAGTCCTGGAAAAGCCATTGCTCTAGGGAGTAGAGCTGGGGCTCTTCCCAGGGATGGGGGGGCTGGCTCCCCCAGCACTGGGGCAGGATGTGGTGGAACAAAGAGAACCCACAAACTAGAGGTGATCACCCTCGTGTGATCAACTTGCAAAACAACCCACAGCCTCCAGTCGTGCCCAGGGGACATCAATAACCCAAACACAAGAGAAGGGATAGTAAATAATGAGAATTTCATGATTATTACCAGCATCTGTCTTGTGCGGCCGCGTGCTCCCGCCGCACGCTAATGGCATTTGACAAAGGAAATAAGGTGCCCTGTCAAGAGCGTTGCTGGGGAAATAAATAAATAATGGCAGGAGACGATGAATGCTTTGTCCGTTAAGGTACCAGGAAAATTAGTTAAGGGAATAGGGCTCGTGTGTTGTCTAGTTAAACATAAACCACCTCCCAGGAGGAGTGGGCTGGGCAGCACAGTGTTGCCTCCTGGGTGAGGGGGCTGGAGACAGGAGCCCCAGCTCACCCATCGATTTTTAATCCTTCACCAATTACGCTCGGTAAGTGGGTAATTTATTTGCCAAGTCCCTCTGGGATGTGCTGGGACCAGCTCCCAGTGTGTTTAATAACAGGGTTTGGATAGGGGGGGATCTACCCCAGCTATCCTGTCAAATGCAGGAGGCCCCACAGGAGCATCCTGCATCTCCGATAGCGCCTACCTGCCCAGCAACACAACAGATTTGGGATTTTGATCAAATTCCTGCAATTCTATCCAAACGATCACCTCAGCCTGGCAGCCACAGCCTGATGAGTGGCAAATGCTCACAAAGAGTTTGGGAGGGTGGTAGATTGAGAGGGGCTTGGGCCACCTGCAGCCAACTCCTGCCCGGGATCCCCACAGGCAGCTCTGGACAGGGAATTGCGTTGTTCGGTAAATTAAGGTGGTGAGGGAGAGCAGCTGACTGGTGCTCTGCGCCCCAGGATGTTGAGATGCTCATGATATGATGCCAGGACTTTCCCAGGATTACATCAGGATGTTCCCCCCAACTGACCAGACAAGTAGAGAGAACATGGCATTTGCTGCTCTGCACCCAAGTTTGGATGCCACCAGCAAAGGCAGTTCCTTTCCTGGATTTCTCTGCAAACCAACCTTCCCACAGCAGCCCTCACGATGCCACCATGTCCCCTATCACCCCCTGGGTGACCCTGTGCCCTCCTGCTCATGCCAGGCATCGGGAGAATTGGGGACCTACCTCCTCGGCCCTCGCTGTCGGCCGGCTTCACCTGGATGGGGCGGTTCATCTGCAACACAAGTGAGAGTAGGTGGTCAGTGTGGTGGCCCCTAAACTCCTTCCATGGGGAACAGCAGGATTTGGCCAATGACTGGCACCAGGAGCTGGGGAAAAGGGGAGGGACCTGCATGAACAGATCTGGGGCTTGTGGCCACAGCGGCCCGGGGATGCCACGTGCAAAGAGCAATGCTCCGGCCCTGGCTATGGGCACCCAGTGCTGCAGGTGCCCGTGGGGCCGCCAGTGCCAGGCTTGGCCGCCTGCCCGCTTTCCTCGACTGCAAAGGACTGCAGAGGCAGCAGCAGCACCCCGCTGGCCCTGGCCCCTCTGGCACCATTGCTCTCCTTTTCCCAAACCTCACCCAAATTTGGCCTCCTCCTTGTCACCACCGTATGCACCCACGAGCGTGACACCCGTGTGCAGCAGGACACGCTCGGCTGGCAGGCACATCCCTGGCCCGCTGCCCCATGGAGCCATTTCTCCTCCTCTCTCCCCCTCCTTTTTCCCCTCCTTTAGCCGAAAAATGCTACAATTATGGCCGTTTCCATGGCAACAAGCGTGCTTCCCCCACGATGCTGCGGAGCCCGAGCCATGTGCTCGATGGGGTCGCCACGGCAACGGCGAGATGTCACACATGACAGCGCGGGGGTGCACACACGAACACACCTTGAGCACACACGGGGACAGTCACCCCCACATGCGTGTGCACCCCCATCTCAGGTGCCCCCTGCTGCACCCCTGGAAGGGGTCCTTAAATTTTGGGGCTGGGTGGGGTCAGAGCCAGTCCCCCCACATCAGGATGAGGAAGAGGATGGGTAAGAGAGGAGGGAGGTTTCCACAGCAACTGCCTCGTCTCCAGGGAAACGTGGAGAGAAATGTCAGCGCAGAGCTGGGGATGGTCCAGGGAAGGGATTGAGTCCCCAGGAGTCACGGAGTGGCACAGGGTGACATCGAGGGACACCTCACAGTGTCACCCATTATGTCACCAGTCCCCCAAACTTGTGCTGGGGCAGGCTTTGGCTCACCCCAAATTCAGGAGGCTGTGACAGCACCGAGACCCTAAACCCAGAACCCCGCTGTCCCTCATATCCCTGCCACGGCCAGGAGGAGGGAACCCCATTTTGGGGGGGGCTGCCCTCCTCCACTGACCCGCCAGCCCCATTTACCAGCACGATGGCCTTTGATGGAATAAATTTCCCATGCCTGCTGCTGTATGCTTAATGTAATAAACCCAGTGAGGATGATTTAGAATAACATTTACGGAGCCGCAGAGTGTCATTTTGATGTGTCTCCCGTCTCCGCTCGCCGGTTATTAAACTGTATTGATTCCCCGGGAGCGGCTGATGTTTATAAATGTCAGGCCTCGGGGACCAGCTAACCTACCCCAGGGCTGCCACACTGCACTGAGGAGAAATTGTCCTGGCCTCTAGACACCCCCAGAAGGGGGTTTAGGCACCCTTGGCATCGCCACGTGCCCACCACAGGGTGTTCAGTGACCCTCTGTGGCACCCAGACCTTCTAGTTGTCCCCACAGCACCCCTGCACCATGTCTACACAGCCCTCTATCCATCCTCCTACACTAAACAGCCACCCAGGCATTTCCTCCCGCTCCTGACACCCACCTGCCCACCCTGCAACATCCATCCATCCACTCATCCATCCTGAACACCCACACAATCACCCACACACCCATCTTCCCCCAGGATTCATCCAGCCATACTCCAACACCCATTCCCATTGCATCCATCCATCCCCATAGAACCCATCCACATCCCCAACACCCACCCTCACAACACCCATTTGTTCCCAGAGCATCCATCTATATCGCCAACAACCATCCATCCACCCCCAAATACCCGTCCATCCCCACTGCACCCATCCATATCCCCAATATCCAACCCCATACACCCATCCATTCCCATATCATCTATCTATATTGCCAAGACTCTCCATCCATCCCCCAACACCCATCCATATCCCCGACGTCAATCTATCCCTGTACTACCCTTACATCTGCCCATCCATCTCCCATCTTGCCATCATTCACCTTTCCACCACCACAGCATCCATCCATCCATCCATCCATCCATCCCCAACTCCCAGCCATCTCCCACACCCCAAGGACATAGTGACACGCTGCTTGGGGTGTTCCAGTACCCACCATCACCAGCAGTCCACAAAGCCCCAGCTACCCCATGGCCAAACCACTGGTGTTACACAGCACAGAGTTGCTAAACCACCTCCTGACTGCTCAGGCACTGTCCCCCATCCAAATTCAGAGCCCCCCAGGAGCCTGGGTACCAGGGAGAGCCAACCCATAGAATCACTGCCAGGGGATGTGCCCAGTGGGATATGGTCACTTATTTGGCATCACACTTCTCCTCCTTGTCCTCACAACCAACGGCCAGAGGATCCAGCAGGCCACCATACACCCAAATGAGATGCAGGTGGCAGGTGACACTGGAGCAGCAAGTGCCCATGGGAGCCTCGTGTCCCTGCCACCCCAGGGAGAAAGGAACCGAGGTACTGGCAGTCACTCGTCATGGGAACACCTTGGCAAGAGCCCTGAGGGTAACCCACAGCAAGTCCACAGCTAGTCTGGGGACAGTCACACCACTGCACAACCCTGCACGTGCATGACCACCCTGGCACACCCTGCACATGCCCACACAACTCTGAACATAACCACAGTCCCGCAGCACCCCCCAAGCACACCCACCCCCAATCCCCCCAGCACAGCCGTACACCTCCGGAGCCACACACCCATGCCCACGCAGCGCTGCGCACACCGCTGTCCCAGAACCGTTGCACACCCACGCGTGGCCGTGCAGCTCTGCACACAGCCCTGCAGGCACCTCGACAGCCCCAGTGCATGCCACACAACACCCACAGAACCCTCCCTGCTGCCATGAATCACACACAACACAGGCATGGACGCACAGCCAGCGCCGGGGATACAATGCCCCTTGCCTCAGTTTCCCCGCTGTAGCAGCAGGACCCACAGTGAGACCCCTGGGAGCCCTCTGTGGACACACGGACACCTTGGGGTGGGCTCACAGCACCTCCAGCAGCACCCACATCCCATTCCCACGGCCACCATGCGCACCTGAGCCCAGTGCAACACCTGCACACACCTGCACTCCCTGTCACACCCAGTGTGCCCACACACCCCCACTGCTGCCACTCCCCCAGCCCATGTGCACCCACATCCTGTCACCATCACCGGGGGCAAAGACACCCTAAGCTCCTCTTCCCACACACACAGAAACCCACGTGCTTGCACACCCACCAACACCCATCTGCACACACCAGGGGGTCAAAGCCCTGCCAATGCACATACCCCTCCCTGCACTGCCTGCGGGTGCAACATTCCCCAAGTGCTGCCCCTTGCACACCTGCACCACACACACACACTCACACACACAAATCTGCGGTAGAAAAATACACCCTCCAGCCAACACGCACACCAAACCCATCACTGGGGGTAGATACACCTCCTCACCATCATCCTCCATCCCTGCCTGCAAACAGACCCCCCCGCCCAGCATTCCCGGGTGCCAGAACACCTTCCTCGCTGACACCCACACCACACACAGCCTCCCTGGGTTCAGATACAACACCCCTCTGTCGACACCCTACCCTTCCCTGTGCGCAGATACACCCTCTTGGCCACACACACACACACGCAGCCCCCATCCCTAAGCGCAAATACACCCTTACCATCAACAATCACCCTGCCAACACAGGCACCCCATCCCTGGGTGCAGATACACCCTGCACAGCAACACTCACACCCACACACCCCATCTGTGGGTGCAGATACATCCCCTCACCAACAGCTCTCCAACCCCATTCTTCTGTGCAAATACACCCTCCGCACCAACACTCCTCCATCTCCAACACCCATCCCTGGGAGCAGATACACCCTGTCATCAACACTCCCAATCTTCATCCCTGCGTGCAGATACACCCTGCAACACCCACACCCGACCTCCCCATCCCTGGGAGCAGATACACCTCCCCACCAAAACCCCTCCATCCTCATCCCTGTGTGCAGATACGCCCTGCTCACCATCAACACCCCTCCACGACCATCCCCGGGAGCAAGGATCCACACCCTCGCCATCACCCCCACTCCCATACAGCATCCCCGGGAGCAGATACAACCCTTCGCCATCACCCACATCCCTCCTACAACCCCCCCGGTGCAGCTCCCCCACCCTGGCGCGAGCGGAGGCTGCCGGGCGGTGCCGGGCCGTGCCGGGCCGGGCGGAGGCGGCGGCAGACAAAGGCGGGGCCCTACCTCGATGCAGAGGATCTTGGACCCGGCGGGCACCCAGAGCACGGGCGGCCGCGGTCCCGGCGCCGGCACCTGCGGCAGCTGCATGGCCGGACCGGCCGGACCGCCGGCCCCACCGAGGCGGTTCGGCTGAGCTCGGCTGCGCTCGGCTCTACCCGAGGCGGCTCGGCCGGGTTCGGCTTAGCTCGGCGCGGCTCGGCAAGGCCGGGCTCGGCTGGTTTGGGTTCGGCTAGGCTCGCCGGGATTGGGTTCGGCTCGGCTGGATTCGGCTGGGCTCGCGCAGCGGCGCGCGGGGGGCGGGGCACAGGGCGGAGCGGCTGCAGCCCCGCCGAGCCGAGCCGAGCCGGGCCGGGCGGGGGGCGGGGCCTCAGTGGGGACACGCCCACCACATGCTGGACACGCCCCCGGACCCCCGACACGCCGGGGGCGGGGCCTCGGTAGGGCGGGGGGCGAGGATGGGAACACGGGGGGTGCGCAGGTGCAGAGCGTCAGCAGGTACAGTGCTGTGAGTACAGGTACAGGGGATGTGCAGGTACAGGGTATGAGCAGGGACAGGTGTGAGCAGAGGTAGATGTGTGTGCACAGCACAGGCACGCGCGTGAGCACACGTACAGGGGATGCGTAGATACAGGGGGTGAGCACACGTAGAGGTGCGATGAGCAGGTACAGGGTATGTGAGCACAGGTATAGGTGTATGAGTACAGGTACAAGGGATATGAGCACGTACAGGGGGTGAGCACAGGTGCAGGAGGGATGCACAAGTATAGAGGGGTGTGCACAGGTGGAGGGGTTGTACATAAACACACACGGATGTGCTTGTGTGCACAAGCAGAGAGATGTGCACAGACACAGAGGCGTGTTCACAGGCACTCATGGGTGTGTACCCAAGCGTGTACACAAGTGCGTACACACGGGTGTGCACAGGCACAGAAGGGGTGCTAAGGCACAGGCAGGTGAGCACACGCAGGTGTGAGCACCTGTATGGGCACGGGGGTGTGAGCACAAGCACACAGTCCCCCGCACTGCTGTGTGAACATACACAGAGGGGTGGACACAGCCGTGAGCCCCTGTGGGGCATGTGCCCGCATGTCCACATGCACACACGTGCTCACACACACACATCCCCACCCCCAATGCGAGTGGCCATGGCAGTAGCCATACACACACGTGTGTGCCTGATGAGAACCCCCAGGCAAGGCCTGACCCCGGCCTCCTTTAGGCTGCCAAGGAGGGCTGTTAACTCTTGAACCTACTGAAGCATGGCCCCACTGGTGAGAGCATGGCTCAGGAAGCCACATCCCCGCAATCCTCACCCCCCTCTGTCAGCTCCACACACACAGAGCAGGGATTGATATTCATGGGCCCCGGCTCTTTCCCCAGCCAACCCGCGGGCCTATTGATTTTTATTTAGGCGAATAATTAAATATTTATTTTCACTTTGTTAAGCTCGGGAGGTCGGAGCCCACAGAAAGCGCAACAGCACGTGGGCGGCTGGAAAATCGATGCCTCGGTTTGCGGCCGCTGGAAGTGGCTCCCGCGCCTCGGGGAGGTGTCACCAGCCCCCGCCCTGGCTCACCCCGTTCCCCCGGTACCACTTAAGGCTTCCATGCCTTGGGGAGGTGTCACCAGGCACTACTCCAGCTCAACTCGACCCCTATGTGTGACTTACCCCTGGCAGTGTCTTCTGCTCATGCAGGGCACTCTGTGCCTTCAGTGCAGAGTCGCGGGCGCAGTAGGTGAGGAAGGCACAGCCTGTGGAGACAGGGAGACAGGATCAGTGTCCAGCCTGGTATTGCCACAGTGCCCTGAGCAGACAGGGAGCTGGTGGCACAGCTGATATGGCAATGTGATGTCTCAGCATCCTGGCATCCAGCACCATGATACCCAGCACCCCAGTACTGTGGCAGTAAGCCCCCCAGCACCATGGCACTTGATACCCTGGCATCCAGAACCCTGGTCCTGTGGTATCCGGCATCCCAGCACTCTGGCACCCTGGCATGGTGGCATCCAGAACCCCAGCAACCTGGCATGCTGGCATTTAGCACCTTAGCACCATGGCATCCAGCATCCCAGCACCCTGACATCCTGGCACCCTGGCATTCAGCATTCTGGCACCCTGGCAGTCTAAAACCTGGGATCTTGCACCCTGGCATGGTGGCATCCATCACCTCAGCACCACAGCATCCAGCAATAAGCACCCTGATGACCTGGCACCATGGTATCCAGCACCCTGGCACTGTGGCATGCAGCAGCTCAGCACCGTGGCATCCACCATCCTGTCACACTGACACCCTGGCTCCATGGCATCCAGCATCCTGGTACCCTGGTACTCTACACTCAGATGGGCACACACGGATCACAGTTCACCCCCAGAACAGAGCAGGAGACAGAGCAGCAGGACGACGGAAGGAAGCGAGGAGCAGGCAGCACACGGGTAGCAGCGCTCTGACCCCAGCCCTGGGGAAAGCCACAGGTTTCCAAGTCCTCCAGGAAGCAGATCTCCAGGCGTCAAGGCCGTGCACCCTGCCTTGCCACCACGTTTCTCCCAGCCCTAAGCATCCTCCGGGGGATGAGATTCATGTGGTGAAGGTGCTCTGGCTCCTTCGACACCATGATGCTTTGGAAATCGGGAATACGCCTGGGGTGAGGTTTTCCCACGCTGACTCACGCTGCCGAGCCACTCGCTCACACAGAGCTGGCAGCAATGAGCGAGCCCTGGGGACAGGGTCCAGTCCTCTTCCCTCTGTCTCTCCTGAAGCATTCCTGGTGCCTGTGCCACTGCTGCACCACTCCCTCCCTGAGGGCTCCCCCCAATTTGCTGGGGTCAAATCCAAAAGCATCTGAAAGTGATATTAAAACAGCAGCAAAACAGTTTCCCTTCAACAAAGTAAATATTTAATGAATAAAATTGACATTGATGCATTTTTAATATTGGCACAATTAAATCCGCCAGCTGATTAAGTATTAATAACTCTTAATAAGTACAATCAGCGTGCCTGGGAGGAGAGGGAGCATGGCGGCGGGGCATGCTGCTGAATGGGGACCCTCGCCTGCCTTGGGGTGTTGGGGACATCTGCCCTCACGGAGAGAGAGCAAGGAGAGATCCCCCTAGATCAATTCTCTCCCGCTGCGGGTGGGGAGATCAGCACAGCAGCTCGCCTCAGTCCCGATGCCATTTCCAGTGTTTACCATCTGTAATTATGTTGGCTTCCTGCTCTTCGCTCTTCTTTCTCTCTTTTTTTCCCCTGTTTTTCCTGCAGGCGACAATGTACACGGTGCCCGGGCATTCTGGAGAAGTTCGGAGGGCTGGCGCAGGAGCGGTTCTGCTTTGGAGGCTTGCCGGGAGGGAGAATGCCATTCAAATTAGAGGAGCGTCCGCAATTAAATCACGAGGCTGGGCCGCAGACGTTGAAGCCCGTGCTGGAGGAAGCGGAGGAAGCACTGAGGGGGCCTGGAAGGGTGCAAATCCCATTGATCCAGGCACACAAGCAGCTTCAGAGACACCTGGAGAAATGTTGGAGGCCACAGTGCCAAAAATGGCAGAGTCAAGGTAGTAGCCCCATAGCCAAAGGACATCAACAAGGCAGCAACCACAAGTTTTGGCTTCTCAGGAAAGTCCCAGCGAAGCAGGTGCTGGCTGTAGCACAGGGGTCTGGTGACAGCTTGTGGCTCCTGTCTAGGTGACACCTGGGGTGCCTTGACTCTGCTCTGGTGCTGCACACCCCAGCTCTTGGGTGGGGGGTTCCATGGAGAGCTCAGCGGTGTGTGACCCCCTCAGTGTGTCACTGTTCCAAGTGCCCGTGCTCCTCACGCCATGTCACAGTGCCACAGCACTTGGGACACAGCGCAGACATGGCATGTCCCCATCCACAGTGGGTGCCTGTATCCCAGGGGTGCTCCAACTCCAGGGGTGCACAAAACTCACGTGGGTGTGCTGATGCCAGACAGGTGCCCCCAAGCCAGGCAGATGTTCTAAATTGCTAATGTTGTTCATTGCAGGGCTCCCTGCCTTGTGATGCTCTGATTCCAGGGGTGTCCCCAAGCCAGACAGCAGCACCCTGATCCCTGGTGGATGCTCCCCTCCTCCTCAGAGGTACCCCAGTTTTAGGAAGGGCCATATATCCAAATGCTGGGGTGTACCCTCCTCAGGGTGCCTCCAACTTAGGGGTATGTTCACCCCAGAGGTTTCCCCTCCTTGGGGTGCCCCATACTTACGGATAACTTCCAGATCAAGGATATCTCCACCTCAGGTGTAACTCAACTGAGGGGTGCCCCATATTTGAGTACCCCCACCTCAGGGGTACCTCCGTTTCAGGGGTACATTACCTCATCTCAGAGGTGCCCCATACCACTGCCTCCAACCTCAGGCAAACTTCTAGATCATGGGGCCCCCCTCTCAAAGCACCCATCTATACCTTGGGGTGCTCCACCTCAGGTTATCCCACCTCATGGGTGCCTCTACCTCAGGGATGTCCCATCTCAGAGGTACCCCTGTCTTGGGATGCTCCATCTCAGGATGTCCCACATGAGGAGTACCCTCATCTCGGGGCATCCCACCTCAGTGGTGGCCCACACTTAGGTACCAAACCTCAGGTTGTCCCATCTGATGGGAAACCTCATTTCAGGGATGCCTTCACCTCAGGGATATCCTGCCTCAGGCTGTGCCATATCAGAGGTGCCTCACACTTGGGTGCCTTTGCCTCAGGATGTCCCACTTCAGGGGTGTCTTCATCCCAGGAGTCCCCCTATATACCAGGGCGCTCCATCTCAGTTTATACCACCACAGGGGTACCACAACTGAGGGGTTCCCACCCTCAGGGCATTCCACCTGAGGGGGTACCCTTTTGTCAGGATGATCCATCTCAGGCTGTCCCACTTGAGGGGTACCTCACCTCAGGGACATCCCACCTCAGGGACATCCCACCTCAGGGACAGGACCCCTCACCTGAGAGGTTCCCTCCACCTCAGTTTGTCCTGCCTCACGGGTGGCCCATATTTCGGTGCCACACAGTGATGTCCCACCAGAGCAGTACCCCATCTCAGGATACTCCACCTCTGGGTGTCGCACCTGAGCAGTACCTCACCGAGGGTCCCTCACACCTCAGGGCATCCCACCTGAGCAGTACCTCACTGAGGGTCCCTCACACCTCAGGGCATCCCATCTGAGCAGTACCTCACTGAGGGTCCCCCCCACCTCAGGGCATCCCACCTGAGCAGTACCTCACTGAGGGTCCCCCCCACCTCAGGGCATCCCACCTGAGCAGTACCTCACTGAGGGTCCCCCCCACCTCAGGCTGTCCCACCAGAGCAGTACCTGAGGGTCCCCCACACCTCTGGGTGTCCCACCTGAGCAGTACCTCACTGAGGGTCCCCCCCACCTCAGGGCATCCCACCTGAGCAGTACCTCACTGAGGGTCCCCCCCACCTCTGGGTGTCCCACCAGAGCAGTACCTCACTGAGGGTCCCCCCCACCTCTGGGTGTCCCACCAGAGCAGTACCTCACTAAGGGTACCGAGCGTCTCCCGCACCCCAGGGTGTTCCACTTCACCTCAGGACAGCCCCACGCCTGGGTGCCCCATGTCACGGCGTCCCACCCGGGGGGTTCCCCGGCCCGCCGCCCCCGCACCTTTGTGCATGCCGGTGAAGCGATCTTTGAGCACGGTGAGCTCGTAGATGCGGCCGAACTCCTCGAAGAGCGGCTTGAGGTCGCTCTCCTCCAGGTTGCGCGGAATCTGCCCCACGAACAGCTTGATGGCGTCGTGGTCCTTCATGGCGATGGCGCCGGGCGGGCGACTCAGCCCGTTCACCCGGCCGCTGTTCGCGGTGCTGAACGCCGCCCCCGCCGCCTCGCCCGCCGCCGCCGCCGCCATGGCCCGTTCCGCGCCCCGCCCCGCCCGACCGGCACCGCTCGGCACCGCCCGGCACCGCTCGGCACCGCTCGGCACCGCTCGGCTCGCCTCGGTACCGCTCGGCACCGCCCCGCTCGGCACCTCTCGGCTCGGCTCGGCTCGGCCCGCGCCCGCCAGCGGGCCCGTGACGTCAGCCGGACGGCCCCGCCCAGGGGCGCTGTATTAGCATAATGAGGGGGCGGTGGCCAATCAGAACCGGGGGGCGGAAAGAGAGGCGGGGCGCGAGCCGGCTCCGCCCACTGCTGCACCCTGCCGGGCTGACCCCGAACCCCCCCGCCCCGTCACTCTCCCTCGTCTATCGCCCCCCGTGGGTCCCCATTCTGCCCCCGTCACCCCATCACCCCCATCATCCTCATCACCCTCCATCAGTCCCCGTCATTACCATCATCCTCCCCTCGCCCCACCACCAGAACTCCATCACCCCTTTCATCTCCATTACTCCTATCATCACCATCACGACCATCATTCTCCTCACCCCCCATTACCTTCCATCATCCTTATCATCCCCATCACCTCCCATCATCCCCCAACACTCCCGTCCTCCGCATCACCCCGGTCTCCCTCTCCATCCCTTCCTATGACCCCCATCACCCCCTGTCATGCCCCGCCGTCCCTTATCCCCCTCCTATCCCCCACGTACCCTCTTTCCCCTTATCACCCCCATCACCTCCTATGTCGCACCCTTTCCCCCGTCTCCCCATCACTCCTATCATCTCCCACCACCTCTATCCCGCCTCCACTCCCTCACCCCCCTCCATCCCCCTTTTGCCCCTATCTTCCCCCCAACCCCAGTCAGGGCTGGCCAAGGGTGTGAGCAGCCTCCCACCTTCCCCTTTAGTAGCCTCTAGACTTGACCCCTCTCTGTTTCCCACCTCAGAGCAGGGTTTAAACACACAGAAGAGGCTCAAAAAGGGTCAATTTGAACACTTTGTCGAGGTTTTCACCTCGATGGACCCCACACTGCCCCTGTTGCCCCAGTGGGCATGCCCCAAAAGGGAGAGGAGGGAACCACTTCCCTCCTGCATCCCGCATCACCCCGAAAGATCTGTAATTAGACTGAGCAGTTTTAATACCTGGTGTTGTCGTTAATTAATTAATTAGTCCCAAAGCAGCAGCCAGGTGGGGGGAGGCCTGGCTTCCCCAGTGCGCTGCCTCGTATGCAGGGGCTTGAGAGTGTGGGGAGGGGTTTGAGTGTGTGCAATTGCATACGTGTGTGTGAGCATCTGTGCAAGCATGTGCAAGTCTACACAGATGTGCACGTGTGTTCAAGCATGTGCAAGCACATACAGGTGCTGCAAGAGCACACACATGTGTAGGTATGTCCAAGCACGTGTGGCTTCAGGCCTGAGTGTGAGTCTGGACAATGACGTGTGGGGCATTTGCATGTGTGTGCAAGTGTGCACGTGTGTGCAGGAACATGTGGGCTTGCAAAGACCCATAGGCACATGTGTGCAATGACCTATATGCACATGTGTAGAAGGACTCCCTAGCTCCTGAGTGCAAGTGTGTGTATGTACATGTGAGGGCAACTATGTGCATGAGGGCAAGGACACACATGCACGTGTGTGCAAGTGTGCAAGGATCCATATGGACACGTGTGTAGGCATGTCCACAAGTGTATGTATGCAAGGACCTATATGCACGTGTGTGCAAGTTTGTGCATGTGTGCAAGGACCCACATGCATTTGTGCACGAGTGTGAGTGCACACGTGCAAGGGCCCTTAATGCACGTGTGTTCAACAACCCTTATGCATGCATGTGCACAGTGGATGTGAGGACCTTTAACCACGTGTGTGCAAGTGCACGCACGTGTTCACAAGCACACAATGCACACGTGTTTGCAAGCACTCACATAATAAACACGCACGTTGCGCACACCCGCTGCACATACGTGTTTACAAGCACACACACACGATGCACACAGGTGCCTGTCCCTGCAAGCGTGTCCCAATAAACTCCCCTGGCTGGTGACAGTGCCCACGGGTGGGTTTGGGACGTGTGGAGCACAATCCTGCCGGAATCCGGGGGCTTGGCGGCTGCTCCTCGCCGCCGCTTGGGTTTATTTTTAAACCCGTTGGCCCCGAGTGATTCACACGCTGCCTGTTCCCTGTTCCCTGCTCCCCGGCAAGTTTTACACGACCAAAATAGATGTTCTGGAAGGAACGGGCCACCCGGCAAAGGCGCGGCGGGGAAAGCAGGGTGCTTCCGGGATCCCGGCCCGTCCAAGGGTGGAAACGTCACAGAGCCACCTCCATGATAGCGGTTTTGGGAGGATGCCGGTGCAGACACCCTGGGGAATGGGATCATGGGTGATGTTTAACCTGGATCACAATACCAGGCTTCAGTGGAAAGTGCAATGTTGGGGAGGTCCTCCATGGGTATCCCAAGCCCTGGGGGCTCTCACACCTGGCTACGGAAGAAAGGGAGCCCAGCAAGGCAGAACGGTAGGTGGAATGAGGGCAGGGAGCTGGGATAGGGTCATGAAGAGCCTCTCCTGCACAGCATCATCTGTAGGAACAGAGGAACATTCTTGGGAACAGAGCACCCTTCCCAGAGCCAGGGTCCTGCTTGCCCCATCCCTGCTGGCAGCAGCTCCCTGCACTGACAAAAACACCAGCCACGGTACCACGTTACAGCACATTGAGGAGAAAGGAAAAAATCTGACTTTTAAAAATAGGAGGCATTAATAACTGTTAATTCACTATTTTTAATTTAAAGTTCAGTCATAAAAGGTTTCCAGCCATAACAGCACATCTCACTCAAGACCAAGACACACATACAACAGTTCCAGCCAGGCAGGATTTCTTGTGAGAGATTCCCTGCTTTCAGCTGAATGCTGTTTCCAGCATGGCAATCCCAACCATCGAAGGACCTGTCCCAGTGCTATGGGACAGCAGTACCACTGGTTTCTTCTCCAAGGAAAACACCATAAAAACCTACCCCTCTGGCTCGAGGAGACCTGGACCTGAGCTCCTCACCCTGAGAATATAACAGAGCAGGAGGAGGACGGGTCAGTTGGCCAAATCCCCAGGCAGAGGTGGGAGCCTGAAGAGCTGAGCAGAGGTTTTATAATATCCATGCACCACTCAGCAGATTTGCAAGGGCTCCTCAAAGAGGCTCCAGGGTGTCATCTGCTGAGGAGAAGCCAGAGGAGGTGGCAGCAGCCAGGGTTTAGGGCAGCAGAGGTGGTGGCTTGCAGGCCTAGTCATCAGAGGAGAGAGGAAGGACAAGGACAGGACCCCACAGCACAACGTGACTGCAGAAGGAAACCCTGGGACAGCAGCAGAGGCTGAGCACAGTTTATCCAGCTGAGTAGGCACCGGGCAAGCTTCTCCACCACTTCTGGAGCAAGCCCTGCCCATCTCCTGCTAACCCTTGCACGGTGTCCCAAGCCCCATGTGAGCAGGAATAGGCACCTTTTTCTTCTTTGTGGTCATTTATTTATAGATTTAAAGAAATAAAAATAGAAAAAGAGGCAATGAGTGCATGCCAAGGCAAAAGAAATGTTCATTGAAATGAAGCCAGAGCAGAAGGTGGGGAAGGGGTCCCTCTGCCCTTTTGAGGGGGGCATATTCCTCCCGTGTGCACAGAGATGGAGGGCAGTGGGGCTCTCCCTTCAAACCCCACCGAATTCATGGTCACAGTATCCAACGTAGAGAGGCTGTGCCTGGACACCACGCCTGGGAAGAGAACAGAAGGATGGCATCAGGGAGAGGGCACAAGTAGAGCCACCACTGCATTTGAGGGCTTCCAGTGGCACGGGGTGGCCATGGGTGCCTCATTTCAGGTGTGACAAGGAGAGAGCAGTTTTCACCCTGTGCTTATATCATGTGTGGGAACACGGGGTGAGAACAGGTTTCCTGGGGAAGCTGGTGCTACAGGAGGAGTGGCAAGAGCTGACAAGTCCTCTCCTTCCTCAGCACAAAGCCCTCTCCTCACCAGAGCTACCAGAAGAAGTGTTCTTCCAGTGCTGAACAAAGCAAGCTCTGCCCATGCACAGACAGCAGAAAAATCAGGGCTTTCCAGAAGAACAAGGGTCATTTTGCAGCACAGAGAACCCTTCTCCCTCACTGCCCTCCCAAGGCTGAGCCCCACAGCAGTGGTGCAAGGGCAGTTGTCCCAGGATGGTTACCCAAGCAGGGTGCAGCGGAACTCCACCAGCCGGGCGTATGCATCTTCCACATCCCTGACAGTCTCATTACTCCAGAGTCTTTCAGCTACGGCCCCACCTCTCGGCCTTGAAGACAAGGGACAGGCAGTCAGGACAGGGGAGCGCTCAAAAGCTTCTCACCTGAAGCTCTGAACTCCCAAACACTTTCCTGACCAGCGTCCTTCCACACACAAAGGCTTCAGAGTATCCCAAGACCTATTCCTGGACCCATGCCCATCAGGAGCAGATCAGGGTGACAGGATAGATGACAGTTACACACAACCTGGTTGCAGCAGCAGGTTGTTACAGCCTTGCAAACTCTCATCTCAGCCTCACTGAAGCTGTTACCAACACAGAGGGGACAGGGACAGGCATCATGTGCAGACCAAACCCCTGAGTTCAGCACATGACACTTGATGGCAAAGAAAAGGGATGCAAGCACAGCCCCACACGACCCAAGTGACCTCCTTGTGGCCTCTCTTACCAGAGCCTGGGGGTCAGGTTGGTGACATCCACATATTCACCCCACATGCAGGCCTCACCACCTATCACCAGGGCCTTCTGCTCAGGACTGCCTGTGGAGGGGACAGCAAAAGAGCCAGTTCTGGCACTACTTCTGAGTGCCAAGCCAGCTGCCATGCAGAAAGGGGGCACAAGGAACACACCTTCAAAGTTCAAGGGCTCCACCTTATAGGCTTCTATCCAGTCCTGCCCGTAGGAGATGCGG